TAGCAGCAGTTGAGATACATATAGGAAACCCTAATTGGATTGTACTCGCTGTAGAGTACCCCACTGCAGGCTAGACAATTATAACATTCTGACATGCCCAGATCCATGCAATACTACTCGCCTAGACCAGCCCACTACTGACAGGCCTATTTACTCACGGGTACCAAACGAATCCATTCTTCACAGGAGGAAATTCGAAGCAGTTCGTAGCAGCAAGGGGAGTCTATTACGTAAAAACCGGGACCGACCGCATCTGGGTGCCCGGGTATACACTGCTACGGGAATTACCGTTACAGGAGGCACACGACGGAGTTACCTCGGGGCATTTCGGGGTAGAGAAAACACGGCAACAGCTGCAGCGATATTATTACTGGCCCGAGATGTTGACAGACGTACAGCGACACGTGGCATCGTGTCCCACTTGCCAGCTCATGAAATCATCACGAAAGCGGCCGGCAGGACAGTTGCAGCTGATACCACCCCCAGAGCGTGCTTGGCAACAGGTGACGATGGACTTCATCACGGGGTTACCGGCCGGGGTGAGTGGGAACGACGCAATCTTGGTCGCTGTCGATCGACTGACGAAAATGGCACATTTCGCAGCCTGCAAAAAATCAATCACAGCCGAAGAAACAGCTCGACTCTTCATCTCCACCGTCGTTCGACTGCACGGGATACCATCAGCGATCATCGGCGACCACGACACGAAATTCACCAGCAACTTCTGGCGAAACTGTCAAAAGTTAGAAGAAAGAAAAGGGATGAACTAGCAGAAATGGGGATACAAATAGCAAACCCTAGAAGGGTTGTACTCGCTATAGAGCACCCCACTACAGGCTAGAACATAAGAATAATATTCTGACACACCCCCATAGCCAAAGTGGGGTGTAATCAGCAGAGCAGGCAAAGCAAAACAAGCTCAGGGTGGATCACAATGTCACCACACATTCTGAGCACAAGTTCAAGAAGAAATAGTTTAGAGTTCACAATTATAAGCAAAGCTAGTGGTAGTCACAACGGGCAAGTGAGGAGGAGGAGGGAGAGTGAGGGGAGAGGAGACAGGAGGCGACGGCTGAAGCTGCAGACACACGGGCAACAGGAGGCAGACTGGCACAGCGGCTACCGGACAGCGCCCGGACTACAGGAGTAACAGGCCCCGCGGCTCAAATAGCGGCGGACGGGCAACGGACCCACGGGCGGCTGGCACAGCTGGCTACGACTGGGCTACCGGGACAGCGCCCCGGACTACAGGTGCTGCTGACGACAAACTGGCAACCTCCGCTCATCCTCCCGCACACAGTCCCACCCCCCTGATACACACCCACTGCTACACCACTAGCTCTACTCCCACGCACCCCCCTTAAACCCTAAACCCAGTCTCCCACACAACCACCCCCCTCAGCGACAGCTGCAGCAGTGGGAGACGAAGGAGGAGGAGGAGAAAGGGAGGAAGGCACACCGACTACCCCCATACCCGCCACCCCACAGCTCGCGGCCCCCGAAGGAGCCGCGACGGGCGACGGGAAATGGCAGGGGGGGGGGGGGAGGCGGTGTGGTGAAAGGGGCCCACCACGAGCCTGGTTGGAGGGCGGGGCCGCGACAAGGGGCGGGGCCGCGACGAGCGGGGCGGGGCCGCGACGTAGGGCGGGGCCGCTTCGAGGGGCGGGGCCGCGACATAGGGCGGGGCCGCGACGTAGGGCGGGGCCGCGACAAGGGGCGGGGCCGCGACGGTCGGGGCGGGGCCGCGACGTAGGGCGGGGCCGCTTCGAGGGGCGGGGCCGTGACGAAGGGCGGGGCCGAGCAGGTAGGGCGGGGCCGAGCCGGGCAGGCGCACGGGCGGCGACGGGTCGGGGCGGGTCCGCGACGAAGGGCGGGGCCGAGCCGGGCAGGCGCACGGGCGGCGACGGGCCGGGGCGGGGCCGCGACTTAGAGCGGGGCCGCGTCGAGCGGGCGCACGGGCGGCGACGGGCCGGGGCGGGGCCGCGACGTAGAGGAGAAGCCCGCCGCGCGCCACGGGGCGCACAGCGGGCAATGAACCGCCGCGCGCCTCGGGGCGCACGGCGGGCAGAAAACCGCCGCGCGCCTCGGGGCGCACGGCGGGAGGAAAAAGTAGCAGCGGAAGCAAGGTGGGGACACACCCACAGGATCGATCCAAGGGGATCGACCTGCTCTGATAGCATGTCAAAAGTTAGAAGAAAGAAAAGGGATGAACTAGCAGAAATGGGGATACAAATAGCAAACCCTAGAAGGGTTGTACTCGCTATAGAGCACCCCACTACAGGCTAGAACATAAGAATAATATTCTGACAGGAACCTGTGGCAGCAGTTCGGCACACGACTACAGTTCAGTTCTTCGTACCACCTCGAAACCGACGGACAGACAGAACGGACAAATCAGACCATGGAGCAACTCATCCGAGCCACATGCGACAACCCAACCACCAGGGAACAACATTTGCCACTCATTAAATTCGCATACAACAACTCGCCACGACCCAACAGTCACCGTTTTACCTGAACTACGGACAAGATCCGACAGTACCCATGACCCCGAATCCCGACAACCTGGTACCTCGCGCACAGCAGCTCGCCGAAATTTTACGAGCAGCACAGACCAAAGCAGTCGACGCAATTAAAAAGGCCAACGTCATCGCCAAACGGAACGCCGATCGCCACCGCCGACCTGTCAATTACCAGCCTGACGACCTAGTTTTACTCGACACTCAGAACCTTCGCCTGCCCATCACCCCAAAACTCCGCCCCCGATATTGCGGGCCATTTCGCATAATCCACATGATTACGCCCGTCACCGCCCACCTCCTCCTCCCGGCGGACTAGTACGTCAGCCCCTCATTCCACATCAGCCTGCTTCGCCCTTACGTCCCATCCACCAGCCAACTGCCTCGCAATCGCCCATCCAGCATGACACAACCGCCGACCGAGCCAATCATCACGCCCGAGAAAATTATGAGCCACCGAGTCTGTGACCCAAGAGGAGCTCGCAAGATCGAATTTCTGATCCGCTGGAAAGACCGCACGCCAACGGAGGACAACTGGGCCCCCCTGGATAGAATTGAGAATCACCCTGCCCTCACCGAGTTTCTACGCAGCTGAAACTTCCGGGATGTACATGCGCTCTCGTAAGGAGGTCCTCCTTAGGGGAGGGGGGGGGTAGTGTAAGGAAAATTCATTTTCTTTACTTCGCGTCCCCGCTCAGCGCGTACACCACTGTAGCACCACACTCAGCACCGTTACCACTCGCAACCCTCGCATCGACAATCCTCCCGCCACCTTCGCACATCGCACCCCGACCTCACGGCTCGGCGGGTAACCCGCGCTCAGGGCCTCCGCTTCGACATTTCCCCAAGCCTCAGTCCCAGGCCCGCCGCGCGACAACTACATTCATTACCGTTACCACTGTAGTTTCGCTATATATTCTTTGCTCATACCTTCGCTCATTGTACTTTTGCTTCGATAGTGCAATTCTCGCTCGATCACTCAATTGCACTCGTAACAATACGGTATGTGATTGTCGGCTGGAAACAACGGTGTACTAAAAAGAAAAGCCGACATTTCCAAGCACATGCGATGGGAAATAGTTTGCAGGTCGCACTTGCGGGTTGAAGGCATCGAATCAACAAAAGGTTTGCATTGTACATGCGCGGTTCCACCTTGTGACCCCTAGCACCCTACACCTTGTGACACCTAGCACCCTACACCCCGTTCTCGATAATTTCACACCCCCTAATTTCACACCCCGACTCGGGATCACCAGCAGGGGCTTTGGGCTGCCGAGGTGGCGAACCGTGAAGGATCATTGAGCTGACAACTGCAGAAATGACCGCTATTTATACTGTCCGCAGCCCAGAGAACTGGGGGAGATTGGGGATTCTTTCGGGTCGCATCCAAAGTTTTGTCAATCACAAGGTGTCAATTTCGTTGCACGGCTTTGGGTTGGAAATTTGGGACTCCATTTGCTACAAAGGCATGTTACTTTCAAACCACGCGCATGTGTCGAATTTCCAACCCAATTATGATTAGGTTTTCGATTTTGGGTGTGGGCACTCAAATTCGAATTTGTAGTCAGGATTACGATAAACGCAATCCTGACGTGACTGTTTTTCATTGGACACAAATATTGTTCAAGATCGTCAACACTGAGGAGGGTCATTTCAAGTCATTTTCATTCCCTGCCAGCACAGCTTTACCGCGCCTCGAGAGTGAAATTATTGGGGAGAATATTTGCCCATTTAATTTCACACCCTCTCGGGCAAAAAAAATCGCGGTTCGGGATGAAGGGGTGTGAAATTATAGAGAACAGGGTGAATTCACGCCACAGATCAAACGGGCTGACAATATTTAAGACACCTTCTTTCGCGACATAATTTGTTAGAACGCGCCCTAGCTCCAAGACCTGGGAACCTATCCTGTGCGATCAAATGCTTCACACAAGACCTTCAACTCACACAGTTCCGCCACCACCTATCCCAAGCTCGCGAAGTCGCCTCGCCCTTCCAATCAGAGGTCGCAGAGCAGTGGGGCTGGGTCGCAGGGGCGCGACAAAACGTCTTTAATCAGGAACTATAGAGCCCTTCCTACAGTAATTAGGGACCGTGGAGTCCTTCCTCCAATCAGAGATAGACCTTCTTCCAAACCAGACCAGGTTCGAGAGTCGAATCATCCGTGGCATTCAGCACCTGGCCTAAGAGAGGCTCGTCATCATGGCGGCGTCGCGGCGGCGAACAATCTCGGTTCCACTCGCGCCGAAGCTCCAGACCCAATTTGCTTCTCGCGCTCTCATTACATTTCTACTCGGCGCTTGTGGGCATCACACCGTACACTTCCCACAAATTTTCTCCTCATCTTCCATATCAGCAAGTACTAGTAGCGTGCAGGGTGGTAGCAGTACTAGTACTAGTAGCACCGCCGGGCTTCTCTTGTACTCGTAGCGCCTCTCTGTTCCCTGCGCAGCGTCTCTGCCGCAGCGCAATGGCTGCCTCATGGCGGGCCGTCACTCAAGGCGCGGCGGCGGCGTCACGTTCTCCGCCGCGGGGCGGCTTCTCCTCGTGCTCATCCTCGCATTGATGCTCCAGACGCCCTCCGTGTCCGCCCGCCACTGGTTCTGGAATGACGGTCTCTTCCCCGTCGCCACCACAGGCGAAGGGAACGCCGCCGGCGCCGCGCCGCTCACCGCCACGGGGGTTCCATTCCCAACGCCAGCCCCGACGGCGCCGACGCCGGCGGCGCCAACGTGCAACGACGCGCCTGTGGACCCTTCGATCGTGTCTGCGGCATCACCTGGCAATCCGTGTTCGGCGCTGGCGGCGGAGCTAATACGCGCTGCGGAGAAATTGGGGAACAAAACTGGAGGGAAAGGGTTCGCGGCTCCTTCTCTCTTCCGCGCATGCCACTCCACATTCCTGTTCAGGTACTGGTACCGTGGCTTCGAAGCGTCTTCTCTATCCAGGGTAATATATGCTCCGCTTTACTTTTCAAAGTGTGGTTTTCAAACTCTACCTGTTTGCTCAGGAACATGTACGACCCTCACAGTTTTGTGATGCTGAAATCGAATGTGCGGACCTGATTCGCGAGTTTACAACGAATCGGGTTGGAATCGTTTGTCCCTATTCATGATGTGGCAGGAAGGACTGCGACGCGGAAGACCTGCTGTCGATCGCGAACGCATTTGACAATCTTTACGTGTACAAGCTCATTTCCATGGACTCGCCCGACCAGACCAACCTGCCGAGCCGCCTCGATATTGTCGCGGACCTGTGGAAAGTCGTCAAGGACGCCGTTGGGGGAAAGTACGCGCGGCTGGTGGACGCGCACATGGCGGCGTTCCGAGCGACGCTGGCGCTGAATGATGGGCACTGCATGTTCATGCCGGAGTGCTTCGTTGGGAGCTACGACCTGCCGCTGCCGCTCATGGCTGTCGTCGAAAACGGGCAGCAGATCATCCGCGTTGCGCCATGCCGATGTGAGTGTTAAGAGTGCACCTCTCAACGGCGGTTGTGGGTTCCAGTATATGTGAGTGTTACACACATGGCTGGTTGGTGATGGTGATGGGTTGTTCCAAGTTCCAACCGTTCAACGATATTCTGTAGCACTCTGCTGCAAAGCATAACACACCTAAAACGCATATTCCGGTTGCACTCAGTTGCTCTTCCTGTTGTTGATTCCCTCTGGCCATCAGTTGTCACTCCCCAAGGGATGGTCCACGTTGCGAAGGTTCTTCACGATTTTGACTTCAGCCTTTATGAGGGCCGACAGGTATGCACTTATCAATAAACTGATTTGAGTCACCTGATTCGACAACATCATCTATGGAACGTCGTTTCAGCAACGTCAATCAAGCACCTGATTCACCAATGCTATTCAAGCACCTCGTTGGTTCAACTGCTCCATGAAAACACTTATTCTACAAATCTATCTTACACGCTCATGCGACGTCCCAGGTGGTGGCTATTAACGGGGATAAAGCGGAGGATTTCATCCTGAATTGGGCGGACAAGGAGATGGGCCAGTTTCGCAATCGCGCTTCGCGGTTCATAAAAGATTTTGCGAGGAATGAAGCGACGGGGACGCTGAAAGGGACGAACATCGTGTAGGTGCCAGGTGACTTCGCCCGCCGATATCTGCCTCCTAAAAATGACACCTTACTGGTGTCGTTCGCTGCAGCGTGAGCTCCTGTACTCGTTGCTCATTGACTCTCCGTGTCACGCTTCCCTGCTGCTTGCTTGCTTGGTGTTTGCTTGCTTGGTGTTTGCTTGCTTGGTGTTTGCTTGCTTGGTGTTTGTTTGCTTGGTGTTTGCTTGCTTGGTGTTTGCTTGCTTGGTGTTTGCTTGCTTGGTGTTTGTTTGCTTGGTGTTTGCTTGCTTGGTGTTTGCTTGCTTGGTGTTTGCTTGCTTGGTGTTTGCTTGCTTGGTGTTTGTTTGCTTGGTGTTTGCTTGCTTGGTGTTTGCTGTTTTCCTGGTGTTCGCATGCTACTCATTGGCTCTCCCTGTCTCACTCCTCTGCTTCTTCCGTGCTTTTGCTTGCTTGGTGTTCGCATGCTGCTCACTGGTTCTCCCTGTCACGCTTTCCTGTTTCTTCCGTGCTGTTTGCGTGCTTGGCGTTTGCTTGCTGCTCGTTGGCTCTCCCTGTCTCTCTCCCTGATGTTTGTTTGCTGAGTTCGCCCGGCCCGTCGTCCTTCACCCTTCGTGTGTCCCCCTCCTCCCCCCACCCCGTTTCTGCCGCACCACTCCAGTTTTCAGGGATGGAAGCACAACGGTACCCCACTTAGCAGTCGACTCAAATATCTTCTCCTTAACACTTCCTGTGTCCCCCTCCTCCTTTCACCCTGTTTCTGCTGCACCTCAATTCTCAGGGATGGAAGTTCGACGGAGGATGTACAGGTGCCGTAGATTGGGACAGCTGGCCATTCCCACTTTGCAAACGCCACGGGGTACTGGAAGAGATTCTGTGCCGTGGCGAGCCCATCAGTGACTGGCGGCACCAGCATATAGGCAAGCACGGTTGAACAAGCAGCAGACATTCCAATGATGGACAGGTTTCTCGATTGCCGCCCCGCTAACGTCTACTACGGTGATACCAGTGATGGTAGTGATGGCAGTGGCGAATTGAATGTCAAGATTTTGTCGGACGCTGCTGCAGCAGCAGACGGCTCGTTTGGTGCGGTAGCGGGCCCGACTATAAAGAGGATCTCACCAACGACTGATATTTTTTTGGTGAGGAGGATTGCTTTAGTTGCTGGGGTGGATGTTGGAGGTCGTATGGAATCTTGCTGCTGGGTGCCGCTGGGTGCAGTTTGGTGACGCTCGGTGCTTGGGTAGTTATCTCGTTGCTATTCAGTTGTTAATTAGTGACGCCTGGGGCTTACCATTTGTGTCGGTTCGTGTGTGTCATCTAGGTTCTTGCGTCTAACAGCAACTGACTGCCATCTGATATGCTCTGATCCAATCAGATTTGATCTGATTCGAGGCGCATGTGTGTCTGTGGGTGCATGCAGGTGTACCTGTTGAACGGCAGCATAGCGATGGTGTGGATTCACTTTTGAGGCGCCTCAAAAGGATATGTGCATGTGCACTGCATGTGTGTGTGTGTGGGTGCATGCAGGTGTACCTGTTGGGCAACAGCACAGCGGTGGTGTGGATTCACCAGTTCTTTTTCAGCGAGGCAGTGATGAAGGTGTTGCAGGCCAATAAGGTGGACCCGGAGATGTACATGGTCATGGAAGTCACCAAGGCCCTCAACACCGCTGCAGCATCAGTATTCCTCTCCACCTCCTCTTACTCCTTTCCACCTCCTCCTACTCCTCTCCACCTCCCCCTACTCCTCTCCACCTCCCCCTACTCCTCTCCACCTCCCCCCTCTACTAGTCCTCTCCCATCCCCTTCCTTCCTTCTACTACCCCCTTAGTTGCTTTAGGCAGCGCGTCTTGTTATATAAAGATAGCACCCAGCCCCGCTACCTTCCCCACTCCATGTCTCATACTGGTACCCTGCTCTCAATTCATTTTTCACCTGCCTTGTTATCCTCATCACTTTCCCACCCTTCTGCTACTTGCCCTTTTCCCCATGCCTGTTTCCATGTCCCTTCCCTTGAATCCCCCATGTGTTCCCCCACGCATCCTCCCGTGTGGTACCCCATGCCTCTCCCCATGTGTGCCTGCACGCATCATCTCATCGCATGCTCCCCTTCCCCTTTTCAGATATCCAGCGCCTCTCAGATCATCATCATCACATACGTGCGTGACAACGGTGGCGGTTCCGTTGCAGCAACGCTCATGTCCCCCCATTTGTCCCCCCATGTGCCCCCCGTGTCCCCCCATGTGGCCCCCCACGTGTCCCCCCACGTGTCCCCCCATGTGGCCCCCCACGTGTCCCCCCATGTGTCCCCCCATGCGTCTCCCTATGTGTCCCCCCATGTGTCCCCCCATGTGTCTCCCTATGTGTCCGCCATGTGTCCCCATTCCCGCATGTCTTTCTGTGCCTCCCCCCACACCCCCCCCCATGCCTCCTCCCCCGATGCCCCCCCTGCAGCTCCAACGCCTCGCAGATCATCATAGACGTGCGGGGCAACGGGGGCGGGTACACGGCAGCGGGGTACACAGCCATCCGGCTCCTCATGGGGGCAGCCAAGGTCCCCGACTCCGACTTCGCCCTGCCAGTGGACGGCATCATCGGCACCGTGTACGCCGAGATCGCCATCACCGCGCTCTCCATCGACCCCACCACGCAGTACTTCATAGGGCTGTACGCAAACCTCAACGGGACCGGGTTCACCAGCGCCTTTGACTACGCGCCTTTCCGCGAGCTCCGCTTCACGGTGGCTGGCCCAGCAGGGAAATACTCGGCGCCGTTCAAGTTGAATAAGCAGTTTACGGGCAAGCAGGAGCAGCCGGTGTTTGGGGATCGCCCGTTCCTGGTCCTGTCGGATGGGAATTGCTTCTCTGCCTACGCCATTCTCACGCACGTCTTGGGGAAACGCCACAAAGTACCCATGGTAACCGTGGGTGGTTTGCCCAACAAGTCCGGCCGCGAGCTCCTCGTGCCTTGGGTTTACCGAGCCTAACATTTATTCATTGTCAAAGGCCTTAGCAATCTTGCTGCCTTGGTGCCACAGAACGCGTCGTTGCCTCTCAATGTGAAAGGGGCGGTTGGCATGGCGCTTACTAACGGGTATGTGGATTCGAAGATTCCGTGCGAGTTTGTGTTTCTGCCCAGCCAGCATCACATCAACTACACCGTTGATCTGATTGGCAAGCCCTGGGCCATGTGGAGTGAGGTGGCCAAGCTCTTTGACTCATGTGCAGTATAGGCTATGTGTCGTGTTGACACCAAGATCAGGTGCCCTAACAATTGACATCACAGCAGCTTAGTTTATTCATCAGGTGCCCTGACAGTTGACTGACACCACAGCAGCCTTGTTCATGCCCTTCTTGTATATTGGCTGAAAATGAGGCTCCCAAAGACTTCTCTTGGGCTGTTGGTCGTGCTTTTGGTGGTTATGTGGATGGATGGGTGCTGAAGGTTTTCAGTTTTTTTCACGGTGTGTGTTTGTTTTGGAGATAGGGGTGATTTGTTATGCCGAGGAGTGTGATTCACTTTTCCTGGTTTCCTTACTGAAATAGATGTTATGGCAGAGACGAGAACGTTATGAGGTAACATGACTAGATAGACACGAAGGAAGAAAATAATATCAAGTACACATTCTCCAAGAATTTTTTGCCACACCAGCAGATCCTTCCACAGATGTTAGGGTATGCTGATGTGGCTTCTTGTGATGTCAAATTGTTTATCACCACGTCACGGCACGTCCATCGTACTCGCCTTTGAAATCAAGCCGGTTGATAAGCCGTTTAGCTGTCATTCCGACAGTTACTGTCAGAACTTTATAGCTTATGCTATTGTGTAGGCTATAGTGGGGTATCCCATAGGGGGTACAACCCAATTAGGGTTTCCTATTTGTACTCACTTCATTCATAGTTCATTCATTCTCGTTCAAGTTTTCTCCTGGTATCGAGCAGGTTCCCTCGTGGGAACTGTTCCTAGGGCCCACCGTCTTTTTTTTCCTGCCCGGAGCAAGGAGGAGGAGGAGCAAGGGGAGTAACACACAACCGCCACCCCCACACTCCTCACCCCCAAACCCTAATTCAGGAGAACGGGTAGCAGCAGGGGTGGGGCACCGTCAGAAGCACGGGGGACAGCGAGCAGCTCAGGGACAGAGAGGAACAGGCCGCCCATGGGCCTGGCACAGCCCGACGAACCGCGCGCAGGCGGCCCGAGCCGCGCGCGGGCCTGGCGCAGCCCGTACGGGCCGCGCGCGGGCCTGGCGCAGCCCGAACGGGCCGCGCGCGGGCCGGGCGCAGCCCGTACGGGCCGCGCTCAGGGCTAGCTCAGCCCGCGCTGGCCAGGACGGGTGACGGGGGACGACGGGCTGGTCCCCGTCGCTCGTCGAAGCGCCCCCCAGGGGCGACACGCGGACCGACGGGGCAGAAGGCCGCCGCGCGCCTCGGGGCGCACGGCGGGCAGAGAACCGCCGCACGCCTCGGGGCGCACGTCGGGCAGAAAACCGCCGCGCGCCTCGGGGCGCACGGCGGGCAGAAAACTGCCGCACGCTCCGAGCGCGCGGCGGGAAGAGAAATCCGTCGCACGCCACGGGGCGTGCAACACACAGAGTAGCAGCGGAAGCAGCAGTAGGGCCCACAGGCCAGGAGCGTGAGTGCTCTGAAACCATGTCAGAATCATAGGTATAGTGAGGTGCCATAGCTAGGTAAGTCCTAGCTAGGCAAGAGAGAATAAGCAAAGGAGAGGGTTCACTAGAAAGCAGCAGGATACATATAGGGAACCCTAAGGGGCTGTACTCGCTATAGAGTACCCCACTACAGGCTAGAGAACAATAACATTCTGACACGGCGAACGCTCCGAGCCTCAACTCCCTTTTTTCTCCAGTCAAGCGCATCTAGTACATTAATCACCTGCTTCCTCACCCTATCATAATCGAATTCGACCGCTGCCCTCCAGTGCCTGATATTCGACTGTTGATTTTAGAATCAAAGTTTGTCGTCCAGCACAAACCCTCAAGCTTGTGAAGAAATGAGGAATGAATTCATTGAGCAGCATGAGGAGTACAAGTAGGAAACCCTAAAGTGTTGTGCCCCATATTGACTACCCCACTACAGCCTAAACAGACTATAGCATTTAAGTTCGACAGTCGGGGTCGTACAGCCAACGGCCTCGAAGTAAATTTCGAGAGTCGCAATGAATCGACGAACGGCAGTGTCTCTCGCATTCGGATTGAACGTCTCCGCTAGCCTCGGACGTGCCGCCTCAAGATTCACTATAGTCGCTGCCGCTGCTGCTGGGTTAAGTGCCGGTGTCGCCGCTGCTGCTGCTGACGTCGCTATTGCGTTCGCTGCTGCTATGGCGGCTGCGAGGACACTAGGAGTAGCCATGACCCTAGACGACCAGCAGTGCAAACAGTAGGGTGGGGGGCAGTGCAGTGACAAAAGGGGCTGTGCTCACCAGACTGAGCAGGTCGGGCAGCTCGGAAGAAGGGCGGCTCGGACGCTCGGCGGCTCGGCTGCTGGGCTGCGCAGCGGCTCGGCTGCTCTGCGGCTCGGCTGCTGGGCTGCTCGGCGGCTCGGCTGCGGCTCGGCTGCTGGGCTGCTCGGCGGCTCGGCTGCGGCTCGGCTGCTCGGTGGGCGGGCGGCTCGGCGATGCAGCAGGTGACGGGCCGGGACAGGCGGTACATGGGCGGCGAAGAGCCGGGACAGGCGGCGTGGGGCTGGGGCGGCGGCGCGCGGCCGGGACGGGCAGCGCACGGGCGGCGTGGGGCCGGGACGGGCGGCGCACGGGCGTCGACGGGCCGGGGCAGTGGCGCGGGGCCGGGACGGGCGGCGCACGGGCGTCGACGGGCCGGGGCAGCGTGGGGCCGGGACGGCGGCGCGCGGCCGGGACGGGCGGCGCATCGGCGGCGTGGGGCCGGGACGAGCGGCGCACAGGCGCCAACGGGCCGGGGCAGCGGCGCGCGGCCGGGACGGGCGGCGCACGGGCTGCGTGGGGCCGGGACGGCGGCGCGCGGCCGGGACGGGCGGCGCACGGGCGGCGTGGGGCCGGGACGGGCGGCGCACGGGTGTCGACGGGCCGAGGCAGTGGCGCGCGGCCGGGACGGGCGGCGCGCAGGCGGCGTGGGGGCAGGGACGGGCGGCGCTCGGGCGGCGTGGGGCCGGGACGGCGGCGCGTGGCCGGGACGGGCGGCGCACGGGCGGCGTGGGGCCGAGACGGCGGCGCGTGGCCGGGACGGGCGGCGCACGGGCGTCGTGGGGCCGGGACAGGCGGCGCACAGGCGTCGACGGGCGGGGCAGCGGCGCGCGGCCGGGACGGGCGGCGCATAGGCGGCGTGGGGCCGGGACGGCGGCGCGCGGCCGGGACGGGCGGCGCACGGGCGTCGAAGGGCCGGGACGGGCGGCTAAAGGGGCCACTAGGGGCCTAGAGAGAGGGGAGCGCGACTCGGGCAGGGGCAGAGGGCGCTCCGGGCAGGAAAAAAAATGGTGGGCCCTAGGAACAGTTCCCATGAGGGAACCTGCTCGATACCATGAGAAAGTTAGAACGAGAAATGAATGAACTATGAATGAAGTGAGTACAAATAGGAAACCCTAATTGTGTTGTACCCCCTATGGGATACCCCACTATAGCCTACACAATAGCACAAGCTATAAAGTTCTGACACGATCCAGGTTCTACAGTAATTCTCTCTTTTGTGACTGTCCGTGATAGATTTGGCGGAACATATGACTGCTCGTGATAACTCCGAAATGTTTTGTGACGGCCTGTATAAAAACCCATTTCCAAGCCCTCCAACAGTCCCGCTTCCCTGCTCATCTGTTCATACTTTCCCCATTCCCTAGACTCCCCGTATTCCCTCCCCCATTCCCCGTTTCCCCTTAGATTTCCCTCAGCTCCGCAAATCTTGCGATTGGAGTTCCCGAAGTTCCTGCTGGCTCTTTCAGCCCCGTCGTCCCCAATATTGCCTTATTTCTCACACAAGCAGCCTCAATTTCGACACCAAGCTAGGTTTGGAGGCGCTTGCGCTGCGGTTTCTCACTTTGACTTGAGAGACGGAGGCGTCGGCCACCTCGTGCGACTCGATTCTGGGTTGCGCTGGATTGAGTATCCGGGACGTCGCCGAATGGAGGGAGCACGCACACGCACCGCTCTGCCTGAGCCAGCTGCTGTGCCAGCTGAGTCAAGGCGACGCGACTCGCCGTTGGGCCAACTATATAACACCTCCTGCGAAACGCTTAGTACGATCCCGTTCCATACAGCGCCAAAAAGCTCCTTCTGTCATCTAGCAGCCCAACACTCTCTGACCTGCATAGTTTGAGCGATATGGCCATCCGCGTTACAAGCATCCTCATAGCGGTTCTCTGCCTTGCCACAGCTGCCTCCAGCTCCTCCGTTCCTCGAAACTTCACCGCTTTTCACCGTGATGGACCGCGTCGCGCTCTCCTGCAGATCCCCCCGTTCGACCCCGCTGCAGCCCTGGGCGCAGCAGTAGGAGCCATGGCAGGCGCCGTCCAATCAGCAGCCGCCACGTTGGCCAGCACCATCGCACAAGCTCCTGGCGGGCTCCTATTCGACGACGCGGCGGGAATCTGCCTCGATTTCGGCCCTCTTCCCGCCTGCGACTTCTATTTCGATCTGCTCGGTCCGCTCGGGCTGCCGTCGCTGCGCGTCCCCGTCGTCTCCGGCGGCGCGCTCGTGCTCTCCCAGCAGAACGACGATCGCCCCGTGAGTCTCGCCATCGCCACCAGCGTTTCGCCTGACGCTGGCGAATTTCTTGGCGATAAGAAAGCGAAGAAAGGTGGTTACCAGGTGGAGATTGACGCGACTGGCCCGGCGAAGTACTGCAAGTGCGAGGCGGCGAAGCTGGCGAAAACAGTGGCGCATGCTGGCGATCAGTTCTACGCCACTGGACAGGTGAGTGCTCTCTGTTCTCCACCCCTCACCCCTCCTCTCTCCCACTTCAATCCCCCACCACCCTCCCCCTTCCCTCTCGCTTGCTCCTTTGCAAACCACTCCCAACGCCTCTCCTTCCCCCCCCCAAAAGTTTTCATTCCTTCCCACCACCACTACTACCTTATGAATCCTACCTCCCTTTACCCCCAGTCACCTCCTCCCCGATCCCCCTAACTTCCGCCATCCATCGCTCTCGCCCTACCACCCCTGCTTTTCTTGCAGTTGCCCTTACGCCAAGAAACGAAGCTTTCTGGCTGAGGACATTCCAGGAAAAAAACAGAATCCAAATAGTCACGC